TGGCCCTCCTCTGCCTGCTCAGAACTCCGCAGTTCCAGACAGGCTGGGCCTCAGGAACACTGTGCGCCCACCTGCCCCTTGGAAGCTCCACAGTTCTTCAATCGCAGCCGGGTTAGGGTACTGACCACAGGCTGCAGTGCTTCAGGAACCTGTGGACCCTCCCTGGTTGCAGAGATATCCACAGTCCTCCAGATACATGGAGAGGCCGATGCAGGCACCCCAAATCTGCCCAGCTCCTCCTCTGCAGACCAATGGCCAGGCGCGGCAGCTAAACACGCTGGGCTAGGCTGGTAGTGTGGGCCAGCCCACCTATCGGGAGCTGAGCAGGTCTCCAAGTGAAGCCGGAATGGGGAGGCTGATGTGGAAGCCTCAAACCCACCTCTCCCCTTCACTGCACCTGGAAGCCTAAGGGAACTCCAGCAGTCTGGGTGCAGATATCCAGAGTCCTCCAGACACACAGAGAGGCCGGTGAGGGCACCCCAGATCTGCCCAGCTCGTCCTCTGCAGGCCTATGGCCAGGCGCGGCAGCTAAACAGGCTGGGCTAGGCTGGTAGTGTGGGCCAGCCCACCCATGGGGAGCTCAGCAGGTCTCCAAGTGAAGCCGGGAATGGGGAGGCTGATGTGGAAGCCTCAAACCCACCTCTCTCCTTCACTGCACCTGGAAGCCTGAGGGAACTCCAGCAGTCTGGGCGCAGATATCCAGAGTCCTCCAGACACGCAGAGAGGCCAGTGAGGGCACCCCAGATCTGCCCAGCTCCTCCTCTGCAGACCTATGGCCAGGCGCGACAGCTAAACAGGCTGGGCTAGGCTGGTAGTGTGGGCCAGCCCACCTATCGGGAGCTCAGCAGGTCTCCAAATGAAGCCGGGAATGGGGAGGCTGATGTGGAAGCCTCAAACCCACCTCTCTCCTTCACTGCACCTGGAAGCCTGAGGGAACTCCAGCAGTCTGGGCGCAGATATCCAGAGTCCTCCAGACATGCAGAGAGGCCAGTGAGGGCACCCCAGATCTGCCCAGCTCCTCCTCTGCAGACCTATGGCCAGGCGCGACAGCTAAACAGGCTGGGCTAGGCTGGTAGTGTGGGCCAGCCCACCTATTGGGAGCTCAGCAGGTCTCCAAATGAAGCCGGGAATGGGGAGGCTGATGTGGAAGCCTCAAACCCACCTCTCTCCTTCACTGCACCTGGAAGCCTGAGGGAACTCCAGCAGTCTGGGCGCAGATATCCAGAGTCCTCCAGACACGCAGAGAGGCCAGTGAGGGCACCCCAGATCTGCCCAGCTCCTCCTCTGCAGACCTATGGCCAGGCGCCTGAAAGACTTTTAATTTAAAGGAGGACTCATGTAGGAAACACATTCAAGAGTGTGCCACTTCCCATCAGAGCCAATTAAGGAGATTAGGAAAGTCCTTGAGACTAAGTCTTTGCCTCTTAACTGTATTTCTACATGTTTATAAAGCTTATGGAACATAAAAGATAACTTAAATCATGCTTGAATGGACCTGAATGATTTGTTTATTTCTACTCTGTGATATCAGAACTATTATTAACTCTAAACCTCCATCCACCAAAGAGAATATATTTCATCTAAAATAGAGTACATATAGACAAGAAATCAAGGAATATAGAAAGTTTGTATATTTTCAGATGCTTTGCTGTGTTTTGGCATTGGGAATAGAATCCAAGGTCTTGCTATTCAAAAGCATTTAATAAATAGAATTTAAGGCCAAATAAAATGATACACAGAGGCACACACACACTGAATAAAAATAATAAATGGGAAATAAATAAAAATATTTAGGAAAAGAAAGACAAATGAAGATTAGAACAAAGTGATGACATTTACTGGCCAACCTTATGGAAAACATCTTTCTTTAAATTTTATTTTAAAGAGGGTAAAATTAAACATAACAAAACAAATCAGAAGAAAACAATGTAAGAGACACAGATTTCAAAGCAAGACAACAGGAGATCTTCATTATCTATCATGTTGTCTCTTGTTTTCTTCTAAATAGTTGTCCATATCTTCACACACAATGAATTCATACAAGACAAAATAATATTAAACTGATCAGAATGGGATGATGAAGGCATTCAAAACCGGACAATAGGGAAGTCAACAATGGCTGCCATAATGTCTCTCGTTCTCTTCAAAATAGCTGTTCATACCTTCATGTATGTTGAAATTAAACAAAACAAAAACACACTAAAATCACTCCAAACAAAGAGTAAAAGTATTGCTGGATTTCACATCTCAATGCTACGGAATCAGCACTGTGTACCTTAGTGTCTCTTTTTCTTCAAAGTAGCTGTTCATTTCATCATGCATTACATAATCAATTCTCATAAACTGTTCTGGAAAAGTTCTACACATGCATGAATCTCTACATGTATACTATCCTTTTTGTATTAGAGGGAAAAACAAAACAAAAAAAAAAACAACAAAACAAAACAAAATAAATTCCTAGAAAAACACGCAACAAAAAAACAAATAAACAATAGCAAAGAGCCCAGAACACTGACAATATAGGCCTTCAAAACAAGGTATTATGAACATAACTAGGGTTTTTATTTTACATAATGATCTTCAATCTTAAAGAGTTCCTCAGATTACCATGCAATAATATGCACAATTGTTCCAATCCTATAAATGTTAACTATTTTGTTCCAAGAACTTACAGAATTTGTAGCACAATCATCTTAGCTATCCTAAATGTGTTTATATAATTTTAGGTATTTTTTCTTTTCCCTTCCTTTTTCTTTTCCCTCATTTTCCCTGAGATTTTATTTTTCCTCTTTAAGTAGATTCTTATCCTTTCACTATATGTATTGAGTTTTTTGTATCTTATGTACTCTCACCTTGCACAGGCAGAAGAACTTTTCCTTTGTATTCCTAAGAATCTATCACAGATCCAGCCAAACTCAGTAAATATTTGTTAATTATGAAGATGAAAGAGATTGATTTGGTATAAAACGAAAAATATGAACAAAAGAGTTGGATTTTGTTTTAAATGGTTTTTTCTCTATTCAGAGAGATGAGGCACAAGGGATTCACTAAGCTTTCTGACTTTCCTCTCCTTACTTGACTAGGGCAGTAGGCAAATCGTGGTGTGTTATTTTTAATTGGGTGGGGAAAAAGGATCTAGTTTATATCATGTTGAAAGCAAAAGTAACACCATATGTTATGCCCACTGAGAGCCATTATGGTAATGTCTCAGTCAGAGAGAGTATAAATGCTCAGCTCAGAAATGACACGAAGTCACAGCACTGACACTCGTGAATTTTCAGCAGTTAGAAACCTTGGTTTCTAACCTTTTTTCTCCCAGGTTAAAAAAAAAAATAATAATGATGGTGACAGCTTCTTTTCTGGGGAGACAATCCACTACCTTTGGAAAGAAAGATTTTTAAATACATATTCATATCCTTCTATTTGTTTTCTTCAATTGAGATTTATTTTTTTCTGTCTTACTCCTTTTCATTTTTTTCCTAGGGCATATCCTACAGTTATCTATCCTCTGACATATTAGTCAACAATGAATTATCTAAATGATTATTTACTATTTCCTGTCCTTGATAATCCTTTGGGTTGAATTAAATATGGGGACTTCTGAATCCATATGATGCATGTCTTATCTTTGACGTTGGATTGCATTTCCAGTTGGATACAACAGATATTGCTAAATTGTCTTCTAGAGTTGGGAACAAAATGTGTAGAAATCAGCCTAATTAATGGCAGTACAAAGCAGCATCTTTTAAATGTTGTGTAGAAAAATAATCTATCCCTTTGGTTTGTGTATTATTTACTTATCGTGGTTTTTATTCCCATTTCAATTTACTATTCCTATAACCTGCCAATGAACCACAGATTAACACAAATAACTGCCTTTCTCTCATCACCTCCTCAATGTCCAATAGATATCTTGAGTTCACATTTCCAAACCAGGCACTTGCTGATGCATTTGAAACTGTATTTTCTTATTCTTTTCATTTCCAATAAAGGAAGTTCTTTCTTTTCAGGTGCTCAGGCAGAAATCTCTGAGGCTTTCACTAACTTTTTCTTATTCCTTATATCTAAGTTGTTCAAAACTATGCTGATTCTAGAAGCTTACTATCTAGCATATATCTCACCATTCTCTTTTCCTCCTAATTCTCTGGTCTGAGCTACCATCATATATCAGGTTATTATAGTAGTCACCTCACTATTCTCTCTGCTCCTGGTTGCATCTGCTTATAATGTATTTTTATCCATATGGTGTGAGTGGTCTTGTTAAATGTAAATTAAGTCAACAACGTGTAATCTTATATCTAAGGCACATTTGGCTATTGAAATTGAAATAAAAATTGATTACAATGAAATGAAAACTAAAATTAAATTCCTCAGTTAGGTTAGTCACATTTTAAGTGCTCCATAGCTGCAGCAAGTAAGTGACTAGCACATTGGGCAATACCGAGGTAGAACATTTGCGTAAGTCCATAAAACCTTGTCAGTGCAGGACTACAAATCCCATCTGCCTTAGGCGATCTGGCATGTGTGCCCTCTTCTACTATCCAACCCTAACTCTATTCTCCCTCACTGATCACACAACACCAGTTGCACACACTTTCTGGTTAATTCTTAAACACGCCAAGGATGCAACTGCTTCAGGTCTTTTGCTTTTTCTCTTCTTTGAGACCTATATAGCTTGCTGTCAGATCTCTGTTCAAGTATCACCTTACTGAAGAGATATTCATAATCTCCCCAAATAAAAGAGCAGTGACTCAAGTTTTTGACCTTCTTTATCATTTACTCTTATATCTTAGCACTTATCATCCTTAAATACAAGATATATTTACTTATTTACATTTCTCCCTCTACCATGTTCCTTGAGTTGAGTTCAAAAGGTGAAAATATTATTTTGTTCACTACTATATTCCACACAACTCGTGCGCTAGCTGACAGAAAAGGAATGCAAGGAAGAATCAATGAAAATTTGTTGGAATTTGAATGGAATTTGTTCTGTTGTACAGGAAAAAGTGGCTGGCTCAAGTTTTGGAAAAAGTATCGATCCCGCCTACCCCAGAATGACCTCTGCCAGTATGTCACATCGTTTGATATCATTCAGATGTTGGACAGCCTGGGTATTAAGTACCAATGTTATGATCTTCTGTCCACCATGGATATTACTGACTGTTTTATCGATGGTAATGAAAATGGAGAACTGCTTTGGGATTTTTTGACAGAAACCTGCAACTTCCTCACAACAGCACCTCCAGATCTCAGAGCAGAAATTATGAAAGATCTGCAGGGGCCTGAATTCATTGTTAGGAAAGAGGGGAAGATTCTTTTTGATAATTCCCTGAGCTTCATAACGATTGAGGCATAAAAAATTACACTGTGAACAACTGTCAATCATTTACTTCCATATAACTACATCTCTTAGAAAATTATCTCTATGAAATCTAGGAAATTCTACAACATTTGTGGACTTCCACATAGAATCACCTGGAATACTTGTATTCTTACCTGTGTCTGAGAGACTATATGCAGGACAAGCACTAAATTCTGCTGGCTTATTGATTTAATAAATAAATGAACAATAACCTTTGCATTTGCTAATTGTACTAGAATTTCCTAGAATACTAATGAAATATATTTTGTGGATTCTTTAAATGCTGCTGAAGTCAATACTTACTGTTATTTTGGTCGCTTAAAAAACAGATTTTTCTCCTCTTGTGAAGAATTAATCTTTGTGTATTATTCTGTTGTTATTTTTGCCTTTATTGAATATTAAAAATAAATACTTTTAGAAGATTACAAAATTGGCTCTGTCATATGTTATCAGTTCCCCCATTTTCTTTTCTTTTGTAATTTCATCTATGATCTACTAATATTTTGCATGTTTGTTTTTGAAGTGCTAGAACTTTCTGCTTTATTTAGCAAAATATTTTTCTTTTTTAAAAATTTTTGGATTATTGACACGTTTTAAAAAGTCTTCTAAAATCAAAGTTTTGAATACTAATACATAGAATCATAATAATTTTCACTTTTTAAAAATAAAATTTTTAATTGTTTTGAAGTGTACATGCTTAAGGATCAGACTGAGCACAAACTGTTTTCCCAAAAGTAATACAAAATTTCATTAAAAAAATTTCCTGGTGAACAAAAAGCAAAAATCTCCAACTCCAGGTGAACATTTTACTACTTACCAAATTCCTCAAAATCTTGAATTTATTTTGTAGTGTTTTATTCTAAGACTACTAAGACCTCCTCAGGTATCAACAGTTTTCTTTGAATAGTAGAATTTCAAAGGATTTTTGAAAACATATTTGATTTCCTGATTTTATTTTTAATAATAAGACCCTCTCACTATGGCAAAAAAAAAAATAGTATATCTCTTAGTAAATAAAAAATATTTTAACAATAAATATTTTTAAAGTAACTAAATAGTTACTATTTCTAGAAAAAGAATAAAAATAAAGTCTTCAAACAGCTCAAGAGTGCTCATTCTCTTAGTGCAGATGACTTGTGCCCGTGTAAGCACCCAATCTTTGCCCTAATGCATTACCACTTTATGCTGTAGGAGGGCCACTTAAAATGAGTGTTACCCCTCTGGAGACCCCTAGCATATCCTCAGAGAGTACACATCAAGTCTATTTAAACTTGAGGATGCATCAAGTCTATTTAAAGTAACAAATTACAAAGATTTGTTATTCATAATACAGAAAAGTGACTTACATTGATCTCTTTTCTTAGACAACTTTATCAATGATTTTTAAAATTTTAACCAACAAATCAAATGACAGTTATCCAGTCAGATTCCTGAATATGAGCATTGAATCATTTATCACCCTGATATATACTACTGACAAAGGAAATCTGTGAATCACAAATGATTGATGGATATGGGGCTATAATGACCTTGTACAAATTCTCTAGGAGAGAAATCAAGACTATTAGAGCAAGTTATGGCCTTTTGTAAAGAGCATATATGCAAAATAAATAAACAAATAAATAAGAACCAACATCCTATTTAAATGTTGAAAAAAATAACAGTTCACACATTGGTATTTATAAATATGGCCTTTCTTTCTCATCCATATAAACCATTTGCTATAAAATACAGGGATAATTCTTACCTTCTTTGTTTGAAAATAATGAAAGTATACAGTTCTCTTTAGGAGAGTACCTACCAGTTAGTGGTAGAAAGTAATGCATGTTCAAGAGATTGGCTTCTTTGCACACTCTGTGATTTTACAAAGGATATGGAGCAGTCACATATTGATTTTTCAGGTTCTTGTAGCTGATAAAAGAGGATACAGCATGAATTTAGAAAGTTGCTTTATATATCTTCACATTTCTTAGTGTTCAATATGGTGTCCTGAATATGGCAGATGCTAAGAAAAGGACAATGATGAATTATTGTCTTCTCTAGCATTAATCTTTTACCTTGTGTGTTCATGTTGTTATTGCAAACATAGCTTAAAAAAAACCAAAAAGGGGCTGGGGTTGTAGTTCAGTGGTAGCATTCTTACATGGCATGACAAAGACTTATGTTAAAACTCTTGAATTATGAGAGAGAGAGAGACAGAGAGACAGACAGAGACAGAGACAGAGACAGAGATAGAGAAACAGAGAATAAAACAATACGTTGCCCATAGTATTAGTGTAAATTTCAACTCATTTCAGACACCTCTTTGCATTTATTGTTAAGAAATGCTGCCAAAGTTTGAAGCTAAAGTATAGCATTTTAGATTTGTGATATTTGTTTATTTGAAAAATTGGCAACCTAACTCTGCTAATCTGGGCCAACAATTTAAGTAATGTGTAGTATGTATCCATAAAAAGAAATATAAAGGTCATAGAAGAATATTAGAGTTTAAGTCTAAAACTACACAGAGCCAAATGCATATTTAAAATAGTTAAATATTTATTGAATGAAATAATTATCACATATTGTGTCGTTAAGTATATTTACATGTTCTCTCTTATGCAAATGTTATTTATAAGAAAATACAGATTTCTTGCTAGATCCCACAGTGGAATGAATGCATAAAAATTAATTGTTTTATTGGAGCTCTAAAACCAAGACTTCCTGAGTTCAAATCCTGTTTCATTGTTCACTTATTAAATAACCCCAGCTAACTCATTTTCTCTCTATTCTCACATTTTCTCACATGCAAAATGAATACAATCCTAGTACTTACCTAAAATGTTCACTGAAGATCCCAGGAGTAAAGCTATATAAATATGCTGTTTCCAAAGTCATAAAAAATATTTGCTCAAAGTAATTTAATTTAAAATGAAGAGAAATTTTTCAAAATGTTACTATCATGGCAAATTTTGACTGAGAATAGAGAAGCTGGTATCTGGAGGACTCAACAGAGATTCCAAACCAAAATTCTTAGCCAGAAACATGGCATCTCTGTGTTTGTGTGGGCTAAACTGGTATAACAGCAAGCCCAAGAACCATCAGGGGTGAATCACTCTGGACCCATGTAAAGGATCCACCTCCCTTAGCTTTGATGCTCTGAATACAGTGCTCTGTGCTATGTGAAGTAGTCCTATCTCAATACTATCTGATCAGAAAGAGGTGGGCAGCTGGCTCATGGACAACAATTTATAAGTCAACGAGCAACTAACTGGAGCATTCTCCTTTAAAAATATGAAATGGAGCTGTTAATTTCTCCGTTTAGAAATTTGGAATTACAAATCTAGAATGGTTGGACGTTCACTCACTCACTTATGAAATGCATTCTTTCAAATTTATGGAATATCTGGGGTACGAGACCAAGGAAGACAGGTGAAAGAAAGAAAGAGAAAGAAAGAAAGAAAGAAAGAAAGAAAGAAAGAAAGAAAGAAAGAAAGAAAGAAAGAAAGAAAAAAAGAAAGAAAGAAGAAAGACAAAAGAAAGCAAGAAAATGGATCAGTGACTCTTACTACGGGGACTGGGCTGGTGACTCCTGATTTTCAAGGTGATCCAGACTTAATCTTTTAGGATTATACTTAAGTCACTGATCCATAAACAATGTTCACTTGTTATATGACTGGCTTCCCCATTTGTTCCTGATTTGGTCACTTTTACCTGAAAAATTAAATTTACTGTTTGACCATAACTCTGTCCCACCTCATGCCATCAACCTCGTGAGTTCTCAGTTTCCTCCCATTTTAGAACTCATAGTTTTATATAAAAATCCCTAGAAAACACAGAATGCTTGGCAAGCCACTAGGGACCACTTCTGTCTCTCTCTCTCAGACAGAAGCTTTCTTTCTCTCAATAAATATTTCTGCTCTTAAAAAATTATTTAAAAAAGAACAAGAAAGAAAGAAAGAGAGAAAGAGCAAGAAAGAAAGAAAGGAAAGAAAAAAGAAAGGTTAGCTCCTGACTTTAGTGACATGTTTTCTGGTTGATGAAATGGACAAAAAGTGCTTTAGTTACAAGCACTGTGAATGAAATAAAAGCAAATAAAGAGAAAGGAGTAATAAAGTGTATTCATAGCGTTAAGTTGAGTTGCATAGGCCACTTTAAGAGGGTAAAATGTGAACAGAGATTTAACTGCAGTAGTAAAGGAACAAACCAAGAGAAAAGAGAAAAGCATTTGAAGAATCTGAAGAATTCTAATGTGGAGGGAAGCTTGCCCTGTCTGCAGAGCAGCAAGGAGAATTAGTTCTGTCTTGAGGAATGTTTGCCATTTCCAATTCCCACCTATGTCTATCCAGAAACAGTTACCCTTTTGTAAGAGGGATCATGTTGGTGTCTACTTCTTGCCTTCCAGATGCATAGTTCAAAAAATAGAACATCTCATTTGATTCTTACTTAATGAGTTAGAAAGATCACTTTTTAATTCTTTTATTTAGCAGATAAGGAAATGAGATACAAGTTTAAAAATGTCATGAAATTCTTAATGCAGTAACAGGAATAACAGGAATTTAACTTCTGCCTTCTGACTCTAAACTGCATTTACATTTGGGGAAATTGACTTTATGACTTTTTATCTTGGATACAGAGTGAGATTTCATAGAACCAAATCACCTTTGCTGAAAATGTCCATTTATAAACTAAAAGGATTGTAAGTACAGACGGAATTAAATTTTTTTTTTTTTTTTTTTTTTTTTCCTTAATCAGGAGTCGAACTTAGGACCTAGCACTTGCCTGGCAAGAGCTATGCTGCTGAGCTAAATACCAAGTCCCCAGAAAGGCATAAATGCAAATCAAAAAATCTGAGTAGTATGAAAAAAAAAAAAAAAAACATCTTCCCAAACAGTGAAATATCACGCTTCACTAAAATGTTTGTGTTAAGCTGGTCACAAACACCTATATTCTCTCACCCAGGTGCATTGACTTTTTGCCTGAATTTCTACTCTTTTACCCCTACCTAGTCCCCAGCATACCAATTTCATGTTTAAATTATCTGTCACTATATTCTAGCTCCCTTATGATTCACATACTGTGAAAAACACATCCATGGTATGAGATCAACTAATGCAGGATAAAGTAATGGATCACATAATCCATTTCTCAATGTGATATATACCAGGAAAAGGCTACCACTAAGAAGGGGGTTGATTTAGGAGACTCTGTGGGCAATGACAGTCACAATTCCCAAATGTGCCAAAAATTCATTAGAGTTCCACATCAGATTGCTGTAATCACTGTGGCAATGGATTAATAAATACAACGATATGCTATTGTGGAGCTTGTAGTGATACATTGTGGATATTCCATATAAGTAGTGTCTTCCTATGATCATTTTCTTCTCTTGGAGAATTATCTGTGTTTCCTGATTCATCTTAATGATACTTGAAGGACTTTGCAAACAACTGCCTAGGATAGAAAATGTTGAAATAAATCACGGGGGCTATCAACTGCAATCCAAGTTCAGTGAGTTCTCGAAAGACATTTGGTACAGAAGATGCAGGAAAATGTCAGTGTTTGTATTTATGTCCTAGAGCTAACTAATTTCATGCTAATTTCATTTCTATACTGTGATTCCTCTTTCTCCACATATTGATTTATAGTTTTCATGAGTTAATTTTCTGGTTTTCAATGCAGAGAGACTGGACATAAATCCAGGGGTTTTGTGGAAGAAGCAGTTGTTCCATGCTACTTATTATCAGCACAAGCACATTGCAGCCTTGGTTTATTATCAAGATACTGCTGCTGTTCTGCAGATTTTTGCAGATGCTTTATCTACTCCATAGTAGCTTTTAATGGGTGGTGACTTTTAGTTCCTGTGTTTAATATTTTTTTTTTAAATTTTTCCAACAATGTTTGGGAGAAGACTTTGGTATTCTCTTTGTTTCAAAATTATTAGTAAATAAACCAAGGCTTATTGCTTCAGGAAAAGCCCTGTGAGATGAATTTGTTCAGACAAGCTTGGCAGTTCACACATCTCCCATCTCTGTGTCTTAGGAATGAAGAAGCAAAAACTGGTCCCTTACCTGGGCTACTTCCCTTTGCTGTCTTTGGCCTCTCCAATTTGTTGATTTCCAGCTTGAATAGGAGTGAATCATGGAGAAATTCTGTGGACCACAGAGAAATTTAAAGACTTCACATTAAAAAAAATACAATATTTAGGGAGGACTTATTAGATATCACATACTACTTTAAATATTTATATGCATCAAGCAAACTAAACTTTGTACAAGTTTATGAGTGGATTAGGTAATGTTTTTCTTTTAGTTTCCAAAGGAGACTAAGAATTGGTTGTATAACGTTCCCCATGTTCTCACGTCTAATGAAATCATTGCTTCAAACACACAAGCTAATGCCCAAAACCATTTCATAACTATGACATATTGTTGCCTTTAATATAGATGCCTGTAGAGTTTACGTGCCTATTTCTCTTCTGTAAATTTCATCTAGGAATTGTCTACTAATTTTTTCAAATGTTATTGTAGTTCCTAAGAACTGATTTCAACTGGGGGAACTCTGATAGAAAGATAATTATCTTATTTGATTGGATCAGTTTTGGCTCAACAAAGGCATTACTTGCATAACTGTGGTCTGGCTTCTTGGTTTTGGAAGGACAGTTCTGGAGGATTGACCTTTTGTTTTCACCTTGTGAAAACATCCTTAGTTATTCAATATCTATAATTTAAAAAAAACCTTTTTATAACAATTGATAAGGCCTGAGTAGCTTCAGCTGGCCAGATATGTGAGGCATCATGACAGAAACAATGCCCATTAGCCATTTCCCTCTCTCCGCAGTGGTAATAGGATGTCTAATTCCTAGCCAGAGACATGACTGCTCCATTCAAGTTAGATATTGTTATGACTTGTGTCTAGATATCCTTTCCCAATCCTCAAGTGGTCTCAGCAGGGGCTTCTTTAGAGGAGGCTGGATCTAGAGTATGTAATTCTGGGATTAAGCTTGTGATTCCTGAATTATTCCACAGACTGGCTTGCATAGTTCTGAGTGTGGGAAGGCCCACCTGGGGGGTAAGTGCTCCCTGCCCTACAAGTGTATAGCTTGGATATAAGGAACTGAAATAGGACTGCTGTGTCCACCTGCTTCTTGTTACTTTTCTGCTTTTCTTCCTTCCTGGCTTCTGCCAGCCAGTCATGAACTGTTTCTCCTCTGTGATGCTCCTCTGCCATGACACCCTGCCCCGGAGCCAGCCAACTATGGACTGAAATCTCTACAAACTATGAGACAAAATAAATCTTTCCTCCTTTCCCTTATGTGTTGGGTATTGTATCTCAGCAATGTGAAAAATAACTAAGACAGATATCATCATAAGTTCTATTCCATAGGATATGATAAGTAAAATAATGTATAAGACAGGATGCCAAAGGGAGAGACAAATTTTCTTTTTCCCCCTTTTTTTTCTCCTGGATTGTTGGAATGTGATAGTGGTTATTTTAGACTGCATGGACAAGGGCAGCAAGATCCTAGGAAATGTGGAATAACAAAGGGAAGAGGCCAGGTCCCTGGACCTGATGGAGAGAGTAGCCACATTAGGTATGAACTACTCATCCTCTATTACATAAAACAGAAACAGAATTCTACTTATCATATACAAAGTTAACTTTTGGTACCAATAGCAACTCTACCTACGCTCTACCTATGATCTACCATAGGTAGATCGATGTGACCCAAATCTTTAACATCTTTTCAAAATAATTTCCTAGTCTATAAAAAGACCACATCAAAAAAATTTTTTTTGAAAATAATAATACTGTGGAAAATAACACACTGGTCTCAGTATGGCTAAGAAAGTGAGCCTGTTCAAAAAATAAGGTTAAATAGGGCCAGAATTTGTATATGACATGTTTAATATGTCACATTCCCAACAGATAACCATTCATCCTGGTATGTAGTTCTGTTTCAGAAAAATAAAAGTAAATATTAATAGATTCTACACATGGCCCTGAGGTACAGCTTTTAAAGTTTCAGTGAGTAGAAAAATCACCTGGAATAAATAAAAAAGAAAAATCACCTGGGAGGCTTTTTGAATATGAAAATTATGGTTACATCTCAAATCTGTCCTATGTCCCCAAGACTCTGTCTTTATGAATAGACCAGGTGACCTTTGACTTTCTCACCAGAGCCTCATAACCCACCAGATACTGAGATTTATAAGGACTCTTCCAACAATAATAATACATAGTACTAATTATGTAAATATTGTAACTGACCTATATATGTCGTAATTCTGTAAATGCTATGAATAATAATAATAAATACTATATAAAATGACTTGGGTACCTATTATGGTGCCAAGTCCTATCTGAAATTTATGACAGGTTATTTCATTTATTTAGCATGGAAAAGAGTCAGTCTTTATTATCTATTGCCATTTTTTAGATGCAATCCTAAGGTTTTATAAATTTAGATAAACTTGAACACACTATAAACTAAGAAAGGGTATAGTTGAGTCTCTTTAGGAATTGTCTCTCTCTAATGTCCAAATTCTAACTCTTAGATGCCAAGTCTTCTCTGATTGTTAAAGCCATCACTATTCAGAAAAATACATGGTCCAATGGCTATTAAAGTAAAGACAGTTATGGTTGGATAGGTATTCATTTTGTCTATACTTGTCATGTGCAGGATGTTATATAATTATATAATCTTGTCAATAAAACATGAATTTAGAAATTAGAAGAAAAAGAAAATAAAAAGTGTGGGTTTTTTAAAGTTTAAAAAAACAAACTTTCTATAAATTATCTTAGTATTTCACACACACATGTAAAATTGCTTTTAAGTTTCTAACACAGACTATTTTTTAATTTATAAGCTTGTAACAATTTTTTATTGAATCGTTTTTATGTTTTGATTTAAATTTTTTGTATGGGAGATTTAACTCTGCAAGTGCTGAGCTATCTCTCCAGCTTTATTTATGTTTGAAACGATCTCACCCCATCATGCAGTCCAGTCTTGAACTCACTTACGTGGCCCAGGCTGGCCTTGAACTCACAGCAATCATTCTTTTACAGACTTCCAAGTGCTGGGATTACAGGCATGAACCATCATGCCTAGATTTTTTTTTTTTTTTTAATTTGAGACAGACTTTTTCTAAATTGAATAGCTGGCCTTGATCCTATCATCCTCCTGTCTCAGCTTTTCAAGTAATCCCAAACACATGTTGGGATTATACCCATGTGCCACTATGCCTGGCTTGAATTCTATATTTAACTTCATTGATTATTATTTTGTTTGTATTTGACTAAATTACGGTCAGCACTTTACAATTTTTGTCTGTGGGCATATAAGCTACATTTGTGTGTGTATATGTGCATTTCTGTCTATATCCGGGTGTGTCACACACATACAAATCATTTATATTTACACTTTTACATTTATATCATAGCTATCTCCATAGAGAAAAGCAGCATGATGTGAATTTCTTGTTATCTTAATTTAACAAGAATACTTGTGGATTTTCTTAGTTTAAAATAATACTTCCATAGACATAACATTGGAATATATAAAATTTTAACACTGCCTATTACCAAAGGGACTAAACAAAGAAATTAGCATGAAATACGTTACATTTAACTCAGAAATGATGTATCTCACGCTTTTGTTTTATAGTAAGAATTTTTAACCAACGGCACTATTCAGAAAAAAATCTCACTTTTCAATAAAAATAAAAATGCTACAATGAAATAGATTAATATCTAATTTTATACCTTCATTTATCCAGTATGCAAAATTATCTTAAATATGTGTTATAAATGAAGTGGCTTTCTACCAAATTGGACCTTTTCATAGTGGAAAATGTTAACATAAATTGTAGTATAAATCATTGCCTCATAGAATACCAGAAGGCACATATAAAAACCCATATCTTTACTGCACATATTTCCCATTAACCATAATCTATTAGTAATTGAAGTTCATTACAAATTCTTGTAGACTTTATTGCTATCATGCTGCATGACATACCGAACCTGGCTTGCATAACAAGAAGTCCTTGCTGGGAAATATCCTATTAACAATGACAGTGCATTTGTCATTGTGATAATAAACCCAAGAGCTGCCTGTAGACTATAAATTATCAAGGCACCATTTGTGCTGCCCTGGCTTGAAGGTTTGTCAGTACTTGTGCTTTAAATCCCTGATCTTCAGTGAGTTGTAACTCAACTATCAGAATCTGCAGTGAGCTGCAACTTTGCTTCCAAGGACTCAGCTCAAGAATTTTTTTTTTTTTTCAAAACAGTTTTTAAATATGATTTACATTTTCCAATCAGAAAGAAGAGAGGTTTGCTGGCTTAAGCACAATAGTGTTAGCAGGATCTGTAAGACAACATCATTTTCCACCAAGAAAAATATATTTAAATCTGGCCAAGAATATCTATGGCTGTTTAAAAGCAGTTTATAACAGTCTCATTTTTGTGCCTTAAAAGGATATTATTTAAGTTTCAGAAGGGGAAGTAGACATATATGTCAGACATTCAAGGCAACTACATACGCCAAGTAATTTTTCCGTTCATGCCTGAGCCACCGTTTCTGTCCCCGGCAGAGCAATAATGTGAAAAATGGGAAGATTTACATGGAGCCACAAGAAAATATTACTGTGAAGGAAGAGGGGCATTTGAGAAGCAGACATAAATTTGAACCAGAAATACAACTGTGTAAATAGATGTGCCTTTGGCTTGGAGACAAGCTTCAGCAGTCTGTGACATTTCTCAGCCAAGGAGCTGGAAGCAACAGGACCAGAAAGCTTTTTTTTTTTAATTACATGACATACACTATCTACAATTTTCATCTTTCTTACTTACCTCAAAATGAGGTTGTAATCACAGTTGCATGAAAAAAATATCTCCCCAAATTCCAAATCAAGACAGTCATTTCTATGCAGATAATGCCAAAAACCAAATCTCTCAAGCCTCGGGATTCTGTGGAAGGTAATGAATTGATGGGTGCTAACCTTGTTTGGGCACCATTTGTGTGCAGAGCTGGATGTCGATGCAGTGGGAGCAAAAGCTAAGGCTAAGAGAGGCTGGGTCTGGTGCTCAGCCAGGTTACTCATCTAACAGTATAAGAACACAAATACAGTACAAGGTACAGTGAGATACACGTGCAGAATTGAGCTGTTGAAATTATCTGAGGAAATTTAAAGCAATTAATTTTTACTAAAAGAATGAAAAAACAGATTTCATGAATGAGCCACAGTTGAGCAAGATCTTGAAGAATTTCACTTTGTTTTTGTTTTCTTTGGCGATCCTTTTCTCCCACTGCAGGAAGCAGGGTTCTTTCCTGGAATATGTCACTAAGTGAAGAGAATAATGAATTAGATTCTTCTGACAGGAGGGACCATTATCTTAGGGTGGGGTGGAGCAAATTGTATTTGTCCGAACTTCTAACCATGACAAATACAAATCATAGCTGGATATGCCAATTGCATAAAGAGGAATAAGAGAATGCAAACTTCCAAAATACAGCACAGAGGAAAAGTATTTCGCTTCAGGAAAATACTAAGAAAACAGCCTGGGTTCCTTCTAGCCTGCTTCCAACAGGAAAATATTTTTCAGTTTTACTTAACTGATGAGTGAAAGAAAGCAGAGCAATTGTGCCCTCTTATTAAATTTATACTCAAATGTATTAAAAAAGAAATCTAATTTCCCAGACAACACTGGTTCAGTCCTTTGCATGGAGAATTTACTGGTAGGGACTAGATGTAAAATCCTGGATCTCTGCCCAGACACTATGCTAAGTGATATGTATCTCGTTGTATTTCTGCAAACTACAAATAGATTTTGGTACAGTAGTACCATTTAATAGAAGAAACTAATATTTAGGCAAATTGTAAGATTTGCCTAATATAAAACTGCTATTGAATAATGCAGTGGGAATTCAAACCCCAAACTGACTGCTCAGAATCTGCCGCCTCTTCCTGTCTTTAGATGTCTGTTGAGTTATATTTTAGAGCATTCTACCCTCTGAAATTCAGTTCATATTACCAATCATGCCTCAGCTTTCTTTGCTTTTATTTTTTTAAGCCCAAGCAATTTGACCGATGTTCTTCAGATATATATCATTGTGCTTATTTTTGTTTTCAAAAACTACTCTAAAATTCACTAAATAGACATTTAAAAGCAGAAAATAGTGAAATGTTATTTTCTTATAAAAATTATTGATTCTGTCATAATTTTTTAACACTATAGCTTTTGACTTATTTAGCATAGCATTGATAATCGAACACCCAATTTTTGTTTTATAACAGTTCTGATCTCTGAAAGAAAATCAAGAAAATAGAATTTATCTACGCCAAGATAAAAAATAGTGCCTGCCTTCACTCAAATTCCACAATGCTCTTAGAGTCTATTTTCCTGTTAATATCTTTGCCTTTTGGTGATGGATATCTGTTCATTCACTTGCTTTTTCCCTCAAACTGCATTCTTGTAGTCTAATAAATCACAGATTTCTTTCCTTTCAAGTTTTGTGTTTTTTTTTTTTTAATAGTAGTGAGCATGACTTGCAGAGTACACAGAGTCCTGATATATTCTCAACAAATAATGTGGGGTCATTTCAATTCCAAATATTTGTACAGGGAATAGTTTGCCATTTGGAATTAACCTGAAAGCCAACAAAAGCATAACGGGCCATCTGTTCATACTTTTTCATTCTTAAAAATAGAAAGTTATTCCAAATCATATAACACTTATTTCCAAAGTGTTTATCACTTTGTATCTATTATTTATTTGTCAATCATTTCACAAAATAACAATAACTAATTCAGGGAAAAGTAAGTAGTTACCATATGTTTTAGGGCATGATATCAAGGTTTTGCTTTATGTGAACTAAGTGGCATAAAATGCTTTATCCCATGGATAAATCATACATGACTTTGATAAGTAATGTTATTTTCTCTGCCCTAGTCAAATGTCAATATTCTCATGAGCTACAAAAGATGGTTGAAGTCCAAATATTAAGGAAGGTAATCAGAAAAATAAGACTATAGGACATGAGAGAAATTTTGCTTACTGTTAGAAGTGAGGGAAAGGAGAGACATACATGCCAAATTGTAAGGCAAATAATGTGAAGTAACCCAAAAACATCATTTTAAGTTTGAAGATCTGATAGTACAGTATATGTGAGTTTTCTGTCTTGGATGAAGCACTGTTGGGTACCAGAAATTCTAAACTGACATAGCGTGTCCTGGGCTCTCCTTAACCTGCCTGCTCTGTGGCCAGATTTGGAATGCGAAAATCACCTTCCTCTCTGCGTCAGTGAGATTAGCACCCAGGTATTGGCATGAATCTTGGCTAGTTCCCTTTATGATGTGAAATTTAACCATTCTACCACTGTTTCTATGCTCTTCCAAGAAAAGCATACTATCCTTCCCTACACTGGCTAATTAATAGTGGCTGGCTTGGAGATCTTTTTCTCGGCCCATCCTGAGGCACTGACCTTCCAGTCCCTGTCATGTGTAACTAAATTTGTCTGTTTCTTATTTTATCCTCTCATAGGCAGTTGGGGATCTTGGCCAGTTCCCCAATAAAGCAGGGAAACAGTACACTTGATGCAGAATTTTTGTGCTAACATGAGAAGCTACAATGCAGATGAACTCTACCTTCTGTCATAATGTGGTCAAATGTGTAAGACAGAACAACAGAGAACATCACCCCAAAGGTAATAGGCTGAAGAGTAGCTAGAAAGATGGTTCAAAGATCCCTACCCACTATGCCCCCTGCTACTCAAATGAGTGTTGTGCAAAAATAGAGAGGTGGACACATGTCCTCAACAGATCTTCCCTTTGTGTGGTGGACTCATAGCCATAGAGAACTGCCTACTAGCAGGAGCGGAGCAGGAGAGAGTACCAAGGTGTCAGTTACCTTGTGCTTCTACCAAAGATTTCCCAGCACCATTTTTGTGCGGATCAAACGTGAGCAGCACCTCTCCCCCAGCAAAGAATCAGAATCTTCCTCAACTTTAAGTTGTTGACCTTAGAGAGGATGAAGAAAGAAAATACTTCTGAGTTTGGTGTTTCACTTAAAATGACTGATTAATCCCATATTTGTCTGAATTAACCTGAAAGTGACAAAAAAATCTGAATTGGAAAAATATAAAAATTTGATTTTTCTATCACTCATATAAGGACTCAATCTATATGTCAGTTTCTTCCTTTCTTCACACTTGAAAGTTATATTACTAGGGTGTTATAGCTTATCCTTGTGTCAACTGTGGAAGGACAATTCCCATAATTAATGCAGGCTTAATTTAACAACTCTTTCCCACTTTAATACAAATTTGTCTGGCTTGAGCCTTCTACTCAATTTTTATTCTTTATCTTGTGAGCATCAAGCACCATAGTGCCGGGAAGCTTTAACTTAGCTCATAGTTATCCCTTTGCATTTTGCCCCTTAAAGAGAAATGAGTCCCTCCATGATTAGACTGAGCTAAAGTAACTAACTAAAGAAAGTCACTTGTGTTGCTTGCATCCTCCCTTGGACATATTCTATATCGATGTCATTCCATTGATACTGTTTTCAGCAAAACCAGTGACCCCAGATCCAATGGTAAGCCCTTAGTAATCATTTTATTCTTTCAGTCACCATTGCTTGCCACATTCTGTCTTAAAACACATTCATCACTAGACTTACAGGATACCCATTCTGTCTTCTCATATTTTGTTTCACATGTCACCTGTATACTACCTCTAGGGATTCTTTTCAAGTTTCATCTCTTTGATGTCTTAACATTGGAATACAAAAGATGCATTCTTTGACCTTTGATCTTTCTATGATCAATTTTATTCCTTTGATGTTCTAAATACTATTTATGTTTTTATTTTATTTTATTATTTTATTTTATTTTATGTTTTCGTACTGGGCATCAAACTGAGGGCTTCGTGCTTGCCAGGCAGGCATTGTACCACCAAGCTACATCCCCAACCATATTTAAGTATTCTTGATTAGCTAACTACTCCAAGATGTTCTGCAGGATTTATGTTTCTTTTCTCTCCTCCTGTCCTCTCCTCTGCTCTCTTTTCCTTCCCTCTTTTCTCTCTCTCTCTCTCTCTCTCTCTCTCTCTCTCTCTCTCTCTCTCTCTTTCTCTCTCTCTCTCTCTCTAATTATCTCAGTGGCACTTCCTTTGAAATGTTTTGGAGGCTTATCATGTGCAATCTGTCTAAATATTATTTTTCTATCTTTCCAACCTCAGTTCCATCTCATCTCATATTTGCCCTATTTTAATTCATCATAATGCCATCCTCCTAGAAACACTGGCCAGAAACTTTGAATTCCTCCTGAAGTCTTGTATCTTTCACACTCAACACAATAGGATGTCCTTTCTATCTCTGTCTCAGTGCTTTTACACAGAAGACCCATGACTCCTCTGTACCTTATTACTCACAGCCTACTCTCTCTTCTATGTACCATATCTATGAATTTATTCATCTCTCTTCCTACCATTTCCTTATTTTTTTCTAAAATCAGCTTCTCTTACTCTCAGTCCAAAGAAAAAATCAAAAGCATCTGAGCATATAAACAAGACACAGAGGGTTGATCCTGTAGTTATATAGACCAAAAGTAGGATACTGCTTCATTGACTGGTACAGAAGGAGGTTCTTTAGATGCAAGCAGTAATAGGAAGATCCTAGCACCTAATATTAGATGAAGAAAAGAGGAGAGTTGTCCCCAGTATCCTTCAGTTGGTAGTCACCAGTTAAAAACTGGAAGCTAATGTAGGTCACTGTGGAATTTTCTGGAGTCCCAGAGGAGAAAGAGTTGCTGTTGGCTATCCTACACTAGATAGGGAAGTGGAAAATTCTTCCTTTTTCTCTTGACCTTCAGTCTTCTATCAGTGCCCTCCTTGCCAAACCCAACCATAAATAATAGCATGAGACTCAGAAAATACTGCGGGACCAGCTTAATCTCTTTTCCTCTCTGCCTTCTCATTTATGATACAGAGCAGGAAAGGGGAAAACAGAAAAGTGAATCTGATCACAGACAAGCACAGTCATTTCAGTCATTTTTAGCAATGTGGAGCTAACTACCACAGAATATACGACAATACCAAAAGTATCCTTCTAGAAATGAGATAAAAGCAAACTTATCCTTAATAGCAGCTTGTGTCTGTGTGTAGTAGGTTTTGGTGGGAAGAGTGCTGGCAAGAAC